CCTATTGCATCTAATTAACACCCTCCAAAGCTTACTACTTATTTTAGAAACAACCTACCGCTACTGAGTTTTGAAAACCGCCGAGATTCAAAACGCTTCTATGACCTTGGAGAGAGCGTGTGATATCACTGTTGTTACTGCGAAATTTTTCACACTTTCTTATATATTATTAACCCTTTAGAGTATTTAAAATTATATTTTTTTAAATAATAAGTTAAAAATACACGAGCGCTTGTTTTTCATTTGGCTTTGCATTTCATTCTTTCTCATTTTAATACAAACTAGAAATGTGTTGTAATAAAAAAGTTCTGCATTTTTTAATTAACACATTGCTGTCCATTTAAAATTGAATTGCTTACTAAAGCAAATATTCACGAATATCATCTTTTTTAATTTAGTCAAATTAAACATCCATTTTTACCACAAAATTCTACATATTGTTTTCACTATACAAATCATATTATTTACATTCAAAATGGTTTCATTGTTAATTGTGTTAAACTAACGAACGCTCGTGTTATTGCTGCAGTTTTCTTATGTAGTTTTCGAACTTTTTTTTAATTCACTCAAAAAAAATATCACATTTCTTGTCAATTTCAAAATCTCACAAACAAAGCACAAGCTTTGAAAGCATCACATAATACATTTCAATTTAGAAACAAAAAGTGAAAGATAAAAACGCACATGTACCTTTCGTTTACCTTAAAAGTGGACGAGGACAAGATGTATGACTATCATTATTAAATTTGTGAGCCCTATAAATTAATCGGAAGTTCCTGCGAAAGGACAAGTCGCTAAAGTGAATTTCTGATCCTGTCTATCGCAAATCAATTAAGGACTAACTGGAGCAGTCTCTTGCCGCATATCCGACATCACTAATAGCAACTAATGTATTTGATAGGAGTCATAATCAAATTTGACCGGCACACGTTATTATGATTACATTAACATTACATAAGTTACATGCATATACGCAGGTACCTACCGGTAAATCTATACAGCATCAATAATCCTTCAAGCGTATTTGACACAACACAAATTAATAACTATTTGAATGCAATTATTACAAAGTGTTTAAGTTTAATGGTCATTTCGAAAATATTCTTCATGCAGACTTTAACCTTATTTTGAGTTACCTAAGACTATCTATATACTAAATCCACGACTTCAAATTTGTAAATTTTTCTCTTCAAAACCCGCAGGGTGTTTCTTTTTATTTGAATTTAGTTATTTGTCCTATGTACCATTTTTACTTATTCAAAATCTATTTAAACCATAAACATGGAACCTTTTTGTATGTTAGTCTATTATTCATGCCTAATAGACCAAGAGGTGACTGCGAAAATGCCTGCATATGTTTTTACATTATATTAGAGGGTGGTGTTACCGGCGAATGATGAGAATATCGTGGATAGAGAGTCTAAAAAGTATCATCACTAATAAAGGATAGAAAATACTTTAGTTGCCAAACAATAAACGTAAACTAATAGCCAGTAAGACCCTAGCTACCAAACATAGGAATAAGATCCTCAGGGGAAAAAAATTATTTATGTTTTATTAATTTATTTTTTCTTTTTAATATTATATACCATTAAATTATACCTGTTAAAGTATCATTAATTTAGTCGCTCATCGTACAGCGAACCGTTTCGGTTTCTATCATTTATTAGTTGATCATATTTAGGATTAAATTACTGCTCCTACCTCTAGTCTTCTTGCTTGGAGCTTTATGTTTCATTCGTATCTTTGTCTATTGCATCTATCTTTTCAGAATACAAAATCTCTTTAATAAGCTAATGTTTTTAGCAGTCGCCTCTCGGACTATAAGTTTCCATTATCAATTTCTGTTTTATAGAAAATAAAGGAGTAATTTTTCTAGTATTGTATTTTATTCTGTAATTTTATCAATACTAATGCTCGTCATCATCATCATAAGTTCGTCAGTCTTACGACTGGTTGGTTCCTATTATAGATAATCTTCGCANACTTATACTGGTAACAGTTCCACATGAAAACTGCTCTAACCGTTGACTATTGCTCCGAGTTAGAGAAATCATCATCATAAGGTTGTTAGTCCTAAAACTGGTTGGACACCCACCTCCAGTCCTTCATATCCTGAGCCAATTTTCGCATTTCCCTCATCATCATCATCATAACGTCATCAGTCCTAAGACTGGTTGGACACGTACCTCCTGTCTTTCCTATCCTGAGCTAAACTTCGCATTTCCCTAAAACCAGTACATTTCACATCCTTAACTATTTGCGGACAGTAATCTGATCTAGGTCTACCTTTACTCCTCTTAACTCCTGTTTCTGCCTCTTATATTTCACTGACTGGCCCTTCATGCCTGAGAGGATGTCCTACTAACCTATCTCGCCTATTTCTTATTGACTTCTATATTGTCCTCTGTTCATCTATTCTTTCTAATACCCCTTTATTTCTAACGTTCTCTATCTACGATATCCTCATCATTCGTCTGTAACACCACATTTCGAACGCTTTTAACCTTTTCTTTTGCGCCGCGCCCACCGTCCATGTTTCGCAACCGTATAACGGCTGGCTCCAAACATATACCTTTAACAATCTTTTTTGAATCTCTAAAGTACCTGTTCGCGAGCATAGAAGTGACTTCATTTTAATTCACACCAAAAATATGCAAAATTGTCGCCCGCTTTTTTATCTTCGTATTTTTTACTATTCCTTTTTCTACAAAATTTTTGTCCATATACTATCCTTCACTTTTTATTTCTTTCATTTAAACACCAGTACACGGTAATTAACAAATGTTTATTAAAATTAGTTGTAATATTTAAAGTACAGTTATAATTAACAAACTAGACAATCACCAAACAATAAACCTTAAAAATAATAAATAATACATACATCAATGAAATACATTTGACTACAAAGGTAAAGAATATATAAAAGTTAAACTTTTTTCGGGGGTCTTCCTCTTCGTTTTCTTACAACTGGAGCTTCAATTCCTTTTTTGGAATTGTTTCCTTCCTTCTTCTTTTGTGGCCCAGAAATCGTTAAACCATTTAAATCTGTTACGACATCGTTTAATTCAGTCATCAAATTTTTACGAACATTATTTTTCATATCATCAATATTGTCAATCTCTTCGACGTTTGGTTTCGCAGAACTTTTTAATCGGTTCGTTAACAATTTTGTCCTAGATCGCAAGCCAAATTCGCCTTTTGTATCAGCATTTTTTAATGAAGAAGGTGTTGCATAGGCATTTGGACTCATTTGAATTATATCACTAGTATTTTCTATTTTCACTTCGTCGGGCACTCTGGCCAAATTTCGTTTTTTAGACGTGGTCTTCGGTGGTGACATGTAAACTTTAATTTTAGGTATCACAGGTGTTTTTGAAAACGTTGTAAATATGCTGTTAACTTCAAATTCAATTCTGTCAGGTTTCTTTGTCTCTTTTTCGTCTTGTTCTCCTAAGTCGAATTTTATGGCTTTTACTACACGAGCAGGAGGTGTTATTAGTCTAGGACTTACAGTTCCAGAAACATTTATTTTTGTTTGTTTATCTTCCGGAGTTTTCTGAAGAGATTTAGAGTCAGTTACGTTATTTATCTCCTTATTATTTACTTTCAATAAATCTAATTGTAAGTTTTCTTTATTGTCCTCAACGTCCATCTCAATAAAGCAATGTTGCATAACCGCTTCATTTTGTATATAAACGTTTCGTAGTTCGTTTTCGCGAAGATGATCTAAAAGTTTCGCATTTACTTTGCGAGCACTCGATGTGTTGTTGACTTTCATTAAAAAATATCCAAAATCCAGTAATAAGGAGCAGAATGATTCCCAATAAAAACTAATGAAATCAGGAAGCAGTTCACAGTCAAGAAATGTGTTTAACTTTTTTTTTAAAACAGTCTCCCTCGTTTTCAATCTTTTGTAGAATAAACAGGCCCCTTCGAAAAACTCTTGGGCTGTATTTAAGTAGTTTTTGTGATAGTTCAAAAGTGCATACAAATGCAACGTTTTCAACGTGATATTGTGATACTCGAAGTTGTTGCAGTAAACGCAATCGCAGCTGCCCTTGTGGTCTATAAAGTTGGGCATTTTGAAGCTCTTTTTTAAAAAATCAGGAGAACCACCTGTATTAGTTAAACATTTGACAGTTGAAGGGGCATCCCGAAACTCTAATAGGGGAGGAACTACAAGCACATTCTCTTCAGGCTTCTTGTAATCTTTTACCATATCTGAAGCTACTTTTAAATCATTATTATTATTATTATTATTAGAGCGTTTATTTAAGAGACACAAGATGTATGAAAGACCTTCCAATTTAACCGAGCAATCGTCATGTCGAACACTGTGCAAGTCGGCATGAGATAAAAGGACTAAAAATTCAGCCGATACCAAAGGAAGTAGAAGTTTCTGGGCTAAAATGGCAGCATCCCGACAATAACATCTAACTTCCCTTGGCAATAGCAGCCACTTATAAGTAGTCCCCATTGTTCTAGTCAATTCAAAATATAAATGAAGTCCAATTGGGTTGTGGTTTTTCTCTTTTAAATATGAAGTAATCAAGTGTAAATGCTGATGTAACATTGACACAGGGGTAATGTCATGCCCTTCAATATCATATTTACAGGGTAATAACATTAGCTGAAATTTCAGCAGGTTGAATTTTATATTAACCGTCGGATTAATAGTATCAACGACCTTTGATAATTCTTTATCAGCCTTTTGAAAGTCTAGCAAAGCGTTTTTCACATAATTACGCTTTAAATAAATCCTACTACGTTGAATATAAAACATCAGGACCAATTCTGAGTTTATGTCAGTTTTGGCAATTATTTTATTTGCTTCATCTAGAAGTTTGTTACTGAGTGAAACAGACATCTCATCAGCAGCTTCCAAAATCGAATTTATGCATTTCAATTTGAGTTCTGCGTTATTCACAACTTCTGCAATTCTTAAATTTACAACCCAACTTTGTATTGCAAAACTATTGTAACTGTTTAATCGATAATGTTCGGCAATCAGAAACAGAAGTTCGGAAACCTTATATTTCTCGATAATAGATTTGTTGTCATGGTTTAAACGGGTAATAATTCCTTTTAATTTTTCAAGTGCCTGATCTAAGTAATTCATGATTTTTTTAACTGCGTCAATGTTCAAATTTGAATACGCTGAGACCATATCGCATTCGTCGTTAGGATTTGGGGGCAATTCGTGGGGTTGTAGAGGTATTTTAGGGGCGGAGACCGTATTATTCATTTCATCACACTGATTATATCTCAATTTATTCAAATTAAAATCGTATTGTAAAACGTACATGTTGGCAAGACATATTTCGGCTTCAAAATCGATAATATATTTGGGATCATTTAATTCTTTTTGGAAATCGTCAAAAATTTCTGTGAAAATTAGATAGAAATCATCGTGTACTGAAGTATTACAATCGCCCCAAACTTTCACCAAAACTTTAGCACACGTGATGCTATCACATACAAGTTTTAATCGTTTCAGTGCCATCATCATAGGTTTCTTACTTGGCCAAAGCATCTTATAGTGTTCGAGCTCTTTAGTTAACAATAATTCGGAATTAGAAGCGTTTAATAGGTAGGCATATTCTTTTTTACATTCCAAAGCTGAAACGGTTGTTGTTTCCTGAATTTTTTCAATCCTACTCCCCATGTCAGCATCCTTAGAGATCGTCTTTATATGCACCCACTGAGAAAATACGCTTTTACTTCTCGCCTCCGAGCATTTTAGGGCATTTAAAGCAGTATATGTTAAGGCGTCTTCATATCTTTTATTTTCTATGCAAGTCTCAGTCAATCCACTCAAAGCTTGACTCATAATATCCCTTGAAATAACTTCTTCTGAGGCTTCTAAAGTTAAAGTTTTCTCAAGGAACAATTCCCAAAAGATTAAACACTGATTAAGTTTCTTTTCATACAAATTAACGCCAATATTATAAACTAGAGCTCCCATTTCTATCCAAGAATTTCTCCACTTGTTGCACTGTTGCTTTTTGAGTCTTGCAATAAGTTCACAGCCATACTTTAAGTATTTTTGAATTGTTTGCAATGTTTCAGCTGCTATTAAGACGTTTTTAGAGATGGAAAATTTAGTCAAGTATCCAAGCTTTAATAACAATGTTACTGAAGTAAAAATGTCTGTACAAACGAGGCAACTATCACAAGACTTGCAGTCTTTATCTTTGTTTGCTACTTCTTTACTCACCACAAGCAATAAACTGGCAAAACTTTTTAAAAATCTCTCAGATAATAACTCTGTTTTGTCAGATGTGATACGATTAATGACAAGTTTCAAAATGTTTGCAACTATATGACACATTTCTTCAGAGCAGCAATAGTTTCTTAAGAATTGTTGATGAAATTCACAAATTCTGCTGGTCATATTGTTATCCATCAATATAATCTTACTCAATAAAACTAGCAATGTGCTAAATTTTAAAACTTCTTTGTCAGATTCCTTTTTAACAGAATTTACAATCCTTTTTATGCATTCTGCTAATATAAATGAATCTTCATGACAATTCAAGTTCTCTGTCAATGGTTTAAGTGTTTTTAAGAGCAAATGTAGAAGTCCTGTTGTAGGAATACTGTTTTCTTTACCATCAACTAAATTTAATAATGATAAATACATTTTTAACCTCTCAGCAGCTGGAAGTCCACTTAAAGATCTAAAATATACTGAAACTTTAGTCTCAAACAACTGATCCAGTGGAATAATTTTCTGGTACATTTTCAAAGCTAGTATGCACCATGTAACTGCCTCTTTAGCAGTTGTTTTATCAGAATACTTTTTGGACATCTTGGCAATTACATTGTGGACTATATCACACACTGATTTGTACAACAAATGATATTTAAGACTAACACAGTTGTCCCAGAATTGAGGCAACAAGATCTCTTCTAAATGTGTTGCATTAATTGCTTTGTTCTGAAATACAAATTAACAGTATATTATAATTATACTTCATTGGAGCATATCAGCTTAATGCTGCTACTACCATTATGAGTATACAGACAAACTAATAATAGAGTGTAAGATATACAGAACTTACATTTTGTAGTAAAAATTTCACAATGTGATAAACTGATCGATAGTACTTGTCCCATTGGTTTTCATTTAAGTAACAAATATTTTGCAAACAATACTGTACGATTTTTAACAGCATTTCAGAATCAACACTTTTCTCCTTTCCATTGTTAGTGCAGAGGGAACAGCAACATATCAAAATTTTCACACAAAAATCGTCACTGCAGCACAAGGTATCTTTTAAGTTTAGAATAGTAAGAGTATTCTTTAAATCGTTATTTGAAATTGCTAAAAGAACTTCTTTTTGGACTTTCTTTCCATCACTCATTTTTAAAAGTATAATTTAGTCTAAAACACTGTCCGTAAACGTTTGTCGATTGCTATTATGATTAGTATAATTGATACAAATAAATACAAAGTAGTCAATTTATTTTTATCTTTCCTTTAAATTTGATTTAAATGATTTAAAAGTCTTAATTTTAAACAAGTTTATACTAGGTTAACTGTCAAATTTTTAACGATTGTTTTAAACATTGATAGTAGATACAATTTCTGCTGAGCATAGTGATCTCTCATCTATGATACTTATTTCCTTTTGTCTTTATCTATGGTGATGTCAACCCACTGTGTACCTCCATGGAAATGCAAAGAACTCAAATTCTATGACACTTTGTGTATCTATTATCTATGATGACAATTACAAGTAATCTATAGCTAATTGGCTTATAGCTGTTTGAAATTCCAAATATTATTTGCAAAAAAAATACAGTTTAATTAAAAATAGTTCTTCCTAAAACAACATTATAATGGCTTCAAGTGAAAGATACAGTTTTTCTCTTACTACTTTCAGGTAATTATTTTTATTTTTTTGCAAATCATTTACTATTAACCTCAAAATTTTTGTAGTCCTTCGGGAAAGTTGGTACAAATTGAATATGCATTAGCTGCTGTGGCTGCAGGAGCTCCTTCAGTTGGAATTAAAGGTAATTCACCAGGTAATACATATATCAAAACATTTAATAATTGTTCTATGCAGCATCAAATGGGGTAGTAATAGCAACCGAAAACAAACACAAGTCCATTCTATATGAAGAACATAGTGTCAGTAAAGTTGAAATGGTGACAAATCATATTGGAATGGTGTATTCTGGAATGGGTCCTGATTACAGACTACTTATTAAACAAGCTCGCAAAATGGCTCAACAATATTATTTAGTATATCATGAACCCATTCCTACTGCACAACTGGTACAACGTGTAGCTGCTGTTATGCAAGAGTATACCCAGTCTGGAGGGGTGAGACCTTTTGGAGTCTCATTACTTATCTGTGGATGGGACAACAACAGGCCCTATTTGTTTCAATGTGATCCTTCAGGAGCTTATTTTGCCTGGAAGGCAACTGCTATGGGAAAGAACTTTGTGAATGGAAAAACCTTTTTGGAAAAAAGGTAATGTATTTCCCTATTTTATTGTTAATATAGAGCGTATTTATTTGCTTTAACAGATATGGTGAAGAATTGGAATTGGATGATGCAGTTCACACAGCCATTTTAACACTCAAAGAAAGTTTCGAAGGGCAGATGACTGCTGACAATATAGAAGTTGGTATCTGCGATGCTAATGGTTTTAGGCGTCTTGATCCTTCCCATGTTAAGGATTACTTGGCAAATATTCCTTAAGTTAATATGTTTTTTAATTATTATAATTAAGGCAGTTATATCAATAAAAAACATTTTTATAACATAATTACGATTAACAATATAAAAAAACGTCTGTTCTAACTTTTTCTCTTTATTTAATGTGAAACATCAAAAGGACAAGATTATCAGAAGAAATTATTAGAAAAAAAATTATAATTATAAATAAAAACCAAGTAGTAGTTATGCTCAGCGTTAACTTTTAAACTTACATTTAGGAGTACATATAAAAATAAGGAACTGGTTCTTTATCATTTTCTTGATATTAGAAATCTAGAAAGGTAAATTTTTGGACTTTCTCCTTATATGTTAAGCCTGATCTTGTAGATATCGATTTTGTCTATTTCAATGGCAAAGAGGTCCCCAATTTTACAATTGAGAGTACAGAAAATGACATTGAATTAAATAAGAATGTTGAAAGCACCGTTTGGTACTTGTAAAAGTGGTCAGATATTACTAGAACTGCTACATGCTCCACTATCCCACTCTTCTATGTTTGTCTCGGGGATATTTGCATTTTTTTCTAAGCATTCTTCATCTTCTATGAAATACAAAATAAATTAATATAGCGTCTTTAATTTGTAGTTTTCTGTATTGCATTAAAAAGGTTTTGTTACCTGAATCTGATTGTTGCATTGGTGAATATTTACATCCCCTAGCCAAATATGACTTCAGTTTATCTTTTGATGCTAATATGAGCCCTAAAAATGGAGGAGAAGGAGCCATAGGTCTGGATAAATATTCTGGATGAAATTGTGTGGCTATATAATAGGGATGTCGTTCTAACTCCAATATTTCCATTCTTTCAGCAGTTTCATCCACAGCTGTATACATATCATTATAAAATATAAAACAAATTTTATAAATATTTTTCTTGCAAATCATTCTAACTAAATATTTACTGCTGTAATTTGAATAGACCATTTTTATAACTTACCTACGAATTTCATGCATTCTTTCTCTATAGGCGTCACGTACTTTGGATTAACTTCGTATCTGTGTCGATGTCGTTCTTCAATTTTATCTTTTTTACCATATAAACGACCTGGTCAAAAGAGGAAAAATGATGCTAAAAAAAGTAAAACTTAAAAAAATAATCTACTCACGGATTTTGCTATTTCTTGATGCCTCCGTGAATACTGTCGTCCTTTTTCCAAGCCTCATGGTCCCTCCCTTGTCTCCACTGTTATGCTCAGGCATATCAATTATTACAGGATGAGAAGTCTCTGGATTGCATTCAGTCGTGTGAGCTTCTTCGAGTTTCAAGACATTTCTTGCATATTCAATTACTGCCGTTTGAAATCCTAAACAAATTCCTAATAAGGGTTTGTTGTTTTCACGACACCATTTATTTGCCTCGATTTTTCCTTCGATGCCCCTTTTACCAAAACCACCTGGTATAATCACCCCTCTACAGTAAATAATAAATATATTTAAAAAGTGAAAATTACACGTCAAATTAAATGCACCAATAATATAATTCTTTTTTAAATTTGATATTTCGTTTTAACTTTAACACGGTTTCACATTAAGGCTTTATATTGGATGTGGTTACAAGAGTAATTTACAATAAAAATTTGAAACTCGAGCAAATTCACCGTAATAAGTTATAACAGAGTTAGTAAATACTAACTCGCTTTGACACAATTCAGACCAGGCATTATGATAAGCAACAGGATCGTCTTTGAGCATGCCCTCCTCCAAGTTGGTTGCCTCTATGAACACAACTTTCACGTGAAAACCCACAGCATTTGCTGCATGTTGTAGCGCTTTTGTAATAGATGTGTAGGAGTCTTCGAGCCTGGTGTATTTGCCCACGAGAGCTATCCGCACCCCGTCTCTTAAATGGTCCATTCGGTTAGCTAAATCCACCCATCGTTTCATGAACTTTCGGGCAGGCACCATAAGGTTCATTCCCAATTTGAGACGCTCATTTAAAAACTCGACGACCCCATTTGATTCCATTACAATTGGCACTTTATAAATTGAGCTCAAATCGGGAATACATATTACCTGCATAATTCATTAAATCAATTATGAAAAAAATTACCGGATTGAAAATATCTAGAAAACATATTCAGTAGGTAGATATTATTTGGGCCGATGAAGTATGTACTGAGTTAGCTAGGGGAACTGTCTAGCCATTTAATCAAAATGAAGAACATTAAGTTCTTGGTTAGCAATTTATCGAAATTACCGGCTGTGGATAGCGATGTCGAACTTACAGGTTCTCATCAGAAAACCATTAGCTTCGATAAACTACTAACCAAACCGAAGCCATTGGTAGTATTAACAGCTACTTTGGCAATTGTGTTCTACAGGCAGGTAGATAGACAAGGAAATTTCATTGTAAAACGTTTCGTTTTATCTTTTTATGGTATAAAACCTTAACAACGTATTGATTCTAATTTCATTATAGAATGGAAAACAAAAAACGTTACGTTTTCAATTTTTGGTTTAAAAAATAAATTGTGAAAAAAAAAGAACACTCACCTGCGCAGGCGCAACATGACAAAAATTGGAAATTTTTTCTTTTACTTCATGGCCAATAGGTTTTTCTGACCGGCAAACTATAAAGTCGGGAGACAACCCTAAACCCCTAAGTTCTCTTACAGAAGCTTGAGTTGGTTTGGTTTTTGGCTCCCCTGTTGATTTTGGCTATAAAAAGTTGCCGTTATTATTATGTGATATTAATTAATTAAAATGAACGAATGTCTCATAAAGTCCCAGGCAATTTACAAATTAACATAACATTTCTTAAACTTAATATTATTATCTGATTTAAATTATATTAGTAGATTTAAAATTCGATTTCATGTAGCACAGTTAGAACCTCAGGATCAGTAACAGCATGTAACCATTACAGATATTCCTGCTAATTTTAGTATTTCATGTTTGACAAGTTTCTTACAATGGTGTCTACTTCTCAAACTGGATCTACAACGAAGCTTGCACGCAAATGTATTAAACTATTCCTACGTCCTATGATATGCTGTTAATTATTTCTGTATCCTATGATATGTTGATAAGAACTAATAAGTTGGAAGTCGGGAATCACATCAGGTGGTTTTCATACTGTTGACATGCTACTGGCCAAGAACTTAACGAAACGTACTATGCTTGACGTTAAGGTAGCGTTAGTGAGTACTGATGTTCAGAATAAACTCTTTGGAATTGGCAGATCTAAGAAAATCTGTAAATGACTACCTTTACGCGACGCTAAATATCGAAACATAAATATTAGGTCTTAACACGACTTGAAAGGTAATAGACTCTATGTGTTTACACGTAATAAAAATAACAGTGATGAAGATTTATCAATAATCCTCTTGTGAAACCCAAAGCAAATATTTTACTTAAATGGTATTTTATTAAAAATATCTCACCAAGTGCCTACCAAACATTCTAGGTATTTCACATCAAATTTTTAATCATTGCAACTATGTAAAAATCATACACTAACAACAGTACAACATATAAGAGAAGTATTATGATTTTGTTTACCTGTGGTACAAGTGAGACATGTGCCAAACAAAAGTTTTCACGTTTCGCTCTAAATTGAAACTGTCGAAAAGCCTCTACAAAAGCCATACTCTCTATATCACCTATTGTTCCACCTAATTCTACTATGCAAACTTGGGGTACTTTGCCAGTTTCTGAAACAGGCACTTGGGCCACTCGTTCTACCCATTCTTGAATAGCATCTGTTATATGTGGAACCACTAAAATATTTTTTAAACATTAATAATTCTTGGTAAAAGCCGAAAAAGCTATATATACCTTGCACAGTTTTTCCTAAATAATCGCCCCTTCTCTCTCGATCAATTACTTGTTGATATATTTTTCCTGTTGTTATATTATTGTCTTTGTGAAGTGTAATGTTTAAAAATCGCTCGTAGTTGCCTAAATCTAAGTCTACTTCACCACCATCATCCAAAACATATACTTCACCTAATAAAACTTATCAGTGTAAATGTCCAATATGATTTAAAAAAAATTATTAAACAATGAGTTCAATAATAAATAAAACAAGAACAATATTATCACATTCCTTAACAATTTACAAACGAATACAAAAAACAAATAAACAAAAAATGCAATCGTTTTCTTTTATAATTGTAAACATTCCATTAAAGGCAATTTCCAATTAACAAGCTTAATAAGTGTCAAACAATGAATACTTAATTATGTAGTTATTTAAACAAAACCACAGCAACTAAGGCATGCTTTATGCCTAGTAGAGGTTATTTTAACATATGAAACTTATTAAATAACTACAAACATTATACTGCACAGTACAAAATTCAATATTTGAGTATTTACTCACCGTGTTCGTAGGGTGAAAATGTCCCCGCATCTAAATTAATGTAAGGGTCAATTTTAATCGAAGTTACTTCAATACCGCAACATTTTAAAATTGTGCCAAAACTGCTAGCAATGACACCTTTACCAACACCACTAATAACACCACCAGTTACTAGTATATACTTTACATTAGACATTTTCATGGATTTTAATTTACTTTTGAAGCGACTTACTACTGTCTGAATTGTTTAACGTGAAGAGGTTAAGTACATGCGGTACATGCAAACTAATCTACGCCCTAGAATAGGTAAAGTCTTGCGCTCTTATCTATGGATAGACAAGATCTATGGCCTCTCTTGTCTGTGATCTATGGTATTGCTTCAAAACATGTCATTATTTATATTATTACCTTTTTACATTATTGTCTACATAATAATTTAAGCGAAAATACTTGTTTTTATCCAGTTTTTTCAAGTTTTTTGAAGCACTGGGGCGTTTGGGAAAAGTAGTGCTTATTTCCGTAAAAAACAACCTATAAAAATGGACAACTTCAATATTCAATATACACTGCACTACAACACATCAGAAATTCGTTACCGAAATTATTAAATCTGTAGTTAAATGCTTCATATGCAACCGCATTTAGTCTCCCAATAATGTGACTGCCATATTTTATTACTGATTTGCAGCACTAGAAGTTGTTTTTGTATCTGAAGTAAGTAAAAACATAAATCAACTACTGAGACTTAAATGGGTGATGTGGGTATAAATGTATATATAATCATTTTTTCAAGAATGATTTCAATGGTTTTTGTGAAATTGGGTATATTGTTTTTGAGGGGTGATAATATGCTAAACATAGTTTTCAGGTAATACTTGGAGGTTATATTAAACTATTAGAGAGATCGTTTTAACTGGGCATTTGCAACTTGATATATGCTCTATATATCCATGTTGCATATAAACTTATGAGGAATGCCCACTAACTTATTACATATTCATTTATGATTGGATACAACTCTAAATCTACAAAACATAAAAGAAGGAAACATGCTGTAAAAACTGTACCTTCTTATAGTACTTACTTTCTACACCACATCCGGAATATGTTAATTCTTATCATATCTTTTTTTAAAGTTGGGGAATACCCTATTATTTTTTATGGACTTTTACTAATATCAAGATAAAAAAAAGTTAACTTGTTTATCGTTATAAATGATAAGGAAATTAACAATTTTGTTTTCGTTTTAGTAATTAAAAAAATAAATGAATTAGGAGAAAAGGTATTATTCAAAAAAATAGTTTTAAATGATTTTACATTAAACTATTTTAAGATAACATTAACAATGCCCGCCTAAGATCTATTTTATTAATAAACGTTAATAATTTGAGCGAAATAGATAGGAAGTTTCATTTGTGATGTGTTTGTATATGAAAAGTGATCTAAGAACGTAAAAAAATACCATCTTCCTTAATTTTTACAGTAACTGTTTTGTGAAATTTGTTTTTGTTACAAACAAGTTTCAAATTTTTTTCCATTTTTATAGTCTGACCCGTTAAGTTTATTGTGGGTCTACCGAAACACCAAAATGTATGCACCTATATTCTCATACACCGTATTTTGCAGTTAATTAAGGTAAAATTTCACCATCTAAAATTTCAGTTTTTCTAGCTGTTAGAAGTACTTTGTTAGCTAAAAATATCTGGTAAGAATTAATTTATTTTTGAATAATATTAGAATGTAATAAAATTGCTAAGGGACGTCAATTGAAAAGTACAAAACAAAAAAACAAAACAAAGACCCTAAAAGATAATTAATAAAGGTTTGGTTTTGTATGGTTTTTAAGATTTTTTAAACACTTAAAATTTTTGATTTGTTTGAAGGAAAAAATATTTACTTTTTTGAATTATATAAATTTTTATTGTTTTATTTCTTTATATTATCACTTTGAATGTTTAATTTTTTACTTCCTGCTTTTTAGAGCGCCTTAATAACAAACACTATTAATATATTTATTTTTTACTTAATTTTATTTGGAAAATGAATTGTTCCTCTAACGATATGGAATTATCAAAATATACTAAAGTTGTTACAAGGCATCAGTGAAAAGAATTTTTAAGTT